TACATATATAGGATGGGTCCAAACGTTCCAGCCAGACTGTGGGATTTTATAGGAAATTTAATTCTGAACAAAAAGTTACCTATAAACATGGATCGAAAAATGTTTCCTTAAAAAGTTATCACCCAAAAAGAAAATAAAACTTAATAAATTTCTTGGACAAAATCAATAAAAATAAAAAATAGCAATCTTTTTCTTTCATAGCTAAGGCCATAACAGCATAAATGAAGAGTATTTTTAAAAAGCTCTACCGTCGATAGCCGAAAAAACACTTTTTTTGTACATTTGAAACTGGTTATCTCAAAATCTATAGAACGTACTATAATCATTTTGATTTCATTTGAAAGATAATTTAATTCTCTACAACTTTTATTTGGATACTTTTTGTTAAAAAACGCATACTTTCTCTGATATTTGTAAAAATGTATAAAATAACTGTGATTTCAGAGGTTTTTGGGCGTTAACTTTTTAAGAAAGCATTTTTCGACCCATGTTTATAAAAAACTTTTTGTTCAGAATTAAATTTTCTATAAAATCTTAAAGTATGACCGGAACATTTGGGCCCACCCTGTATATATATAAAAGTAAATAATTATAATTATAAAGATTAAAATTAAAAATTTAATGATTTTTCTCTTATCTTATTTCAAAATATTCACATTACACGTAATTGCAATTTCATGATTATAATCGACTGCGATATTCAACAGGTGGCATCGTGCAATCGTTATTTCCATTTCCCGTGTGCCGCAGCCAATAGTTGCTTTCAGGATACCAAAAGTCTGACTCTTTTCTGCAGCCAGCATCTCGGCCAAGTCCCGCTCTTGCGTAAGTTTCTCATTTCTAAACAGTGTCAATAAAAATTCCATTCTTAGATTTTTATCATTCAATCTTTAGTCAATGTAAGTAAAAAAAGAAAAAGCAATTATTATAATGATATTATAATAAAAAGCAGAACAATTTTATCGTTGCGTATAAACAAAAAATTATTTAAATTAATATGTACACACACACAGGCATCTTTTGCTATTCTGATATCATCAAGCATTTTCTTTATTTTATAACTTTTTTTAATCTCTATTTTTACTCTAAAGACTTTTATTTAAATATATTTGAGTACCTGCAAAATGAAAATATTACGCTTTTTCATTTACTTTTTCGTTCTAACATCATGTGATCAAATATGAGTAATAGAACAGCAGCATAATAAGAAAAAGAACAGCATAATAAGAGAATCAAATTTACAAAAAAAAAAACAATTGACTCGAAATAAAAACGAATTTATATAATTTTGTAGTTATTAATCTGTCATCCAGCTAAAATTTAGAAAATATAAGAATATAAGAAACTAGAAAAAAAAAAAATTGATGGCATATAAAAAAAAAATTATATATATATGTACATATTTCTATATGTATATATAAAGAAATTTAAAAAAATCTTGCATTTGCAGTGAATGGGGAAGTGACTTGTGTGCAATGTTATGGAATGGGCGATGTATCAAATTTAGTGATGTGCTCTGTATGCGGCCAGCATTACCATGGCAGTTGTGTGGGCTTAGCGTTGTTACCTGGAGTACGTGCTGGATGGCAGTGTGTGTCTTGCCGCGTGTGTCAAGTCTGTCGACAACCCGAAGATGTTTCCAAGGTTACAAAAAAGTTATAAGAAGTTTTAAAAAAATCAATATGCTCAAGTCTTTTAAAATTGTAGGTTAAAATTATCATATGATAATTTATATAAAATTTCAATTAAGACTATGATATTAAAAAATTTAATTTATGAAAGAATAGTAATTAAACAATATTGCAATTGTTTTTATTTCTTTTTATATTAAATGTGTTTATTATAGTAAAATTATTGATAGGAAAATAATTGTTGAAAGTTATAGTTTAAATATCTTAAATTAAAATATTCAATTTATTAAATAGATATTTAAAATAAAAGTTTAATATGTGTGCTTTTTATATGTTAATATGCTTTCAAAAATTATAATTTCTTTAAAATTTTTAATTAATATTAAAATATTATCAAATTGGTAATTAAAGAAATTTTGAAAAACTTACTGAAAAGTTCTTCTTTTTCGAAAAGTTGTTCTTTTTTCTGAAAAAATTAATATTAGAATTGGCTTAATATTAAAATTATTTAATAAATTAATTATTTTATTATTCAATTAATAAAATAAAGATTAAATAAATATAAAGAAATTTATTATTTTT